TTTTTCCCTGTTTGTAAATTCTTGAATTTGTCTGCTATGTTCACTCAAGTGCACCAAGCAAGGGGTTGACCACTCAGCTCAGGAGTGTACACAGGATTACTGATTACCAGTGATTATCTACAAACATACTTTAAAAAACTCCATAATTTGGCCAGCTAAGAGCATTTTGGCCTAATTCCATAAGAAAAACCACCAAAATCTGATAGAAACGGCGAAACTAGCCAGTTTTGGTGTTTGAATACCAATGATTACTGGACCAAATGTACACACGATTACCAGAGTGGGTAACCCCTTGGGCACCAAGTGTACAGGGCCAATTTTTGACGAGTGTGAGTGTGATGCCCAAAAAGATTTCCCTCTAAAATTTTTTTCCATGCTCGTAACAACTTTATGACCATAATTTTGGTTGTATACTCCTGTAAAGTCAGTTCTCTTGGTATAGTGCGGGCTGTTACCGGAACAATCTGGCATATTATGATACAAGTGTGAAAATTTGTACACGTGTTCTTGGAACCACAAGGAACGATTCTGCCCGAGGTACCAATGTGAAATCTTACTCTGAGGGGTGGTTCACCCCCTTTAAAAATGTCGCCGTTTTTTAAGGTTTTCGGGCTCCGGAACGCTCCTCCTGGTACCCAAGTGCGTTTAATTTTGCTTACTAATGACTTGGAGTACTGCAGCACCGTCGCGCTCCGTGTTCTCCCAAATCCTCCCCCCCCAAAGGGGTGTTTACCCCCAAAAATAGCTGTTTCTCCACTGATCCCTAATATTGGCATGCGAGGTGTCGTTTCCATAAAATTTTCATGTCGGGGAATCGAAATTCGAGGTCCAGAAAGCCGTATCTATGAATTTGAACTATCCTAGACCCTATTCGCCTATGAACAAGGTGCAAGACAGGTAGAAAAGTGCGTTCAACCCAAGTACAGACGTAGATTCTAGGGAGATATGATCTGGAGGACCCAACTCTGATGAAAAATTAAGTCTTGCCTAAAAAATTGATCTATCCTAGAAAATTACATTGGGCCCTTTTGATTTTTTAAGAATTTTTCCTATTCCGACAGAAGCCAGCTAAACTAGAGAACCAAAGCAAAAGGTGGTTTCCTGCAAAGTCTCAAAGCTGAGGCTCAATTAAATTTTGATTCTGCGTAGGTTTTTTGTTTGAAAACCCATTTTAAACCCCCTTTTCTAGTACGTCTACCATCAGAGTACAGTTTGGGCTTCGTTGGGCTGGAAAAATCGTGTTTTGGGTCGACTTTAAGCAGCCACTGCGTTTGATCCGAGGGGGGATTTTGTCCTGCCTCAACAGGCAATTTGGGCTTCAGACCTTGCTTTAGCATGCCTTTGTTACGGAGTGCGATTATCAGCCTTATTTGGGAGCAGTGTTGGCTCAAAGTTGACCAAAACGGTCACAAATGTCTTTGAAAAATTTGTGTTTTGGGCCGACTTTAAGCAGCCACTGCGTCAGATCCGAGGCGGTATTTTGTTCTCACTCAACGGTAGATTGGTCTTTAGACCTTGCTTTTGCATGCCTTTGTTACGCAGTGCGATTATCAGCCTTAGTTTGGGAGCAGTGTTGGCTCAAAGTTGACCAAAAAGGTCATAACTGCCTTTGAAAAATCGTGATTTGGGACAACTTTAAGCAGCCTCTGCGTCTGATTCGAGACGGTATTTCGTCCTCCCTCAACGGGCATTTAGTCTATGGACCTTGCTTTCGCATGCCTTTGTTACGGAATGCGATTATTAGCCTTAGTTTGAGCGCAGTATCGGTTTAAAGTTGACCAAAACGGTCCAAAATGCCTTTGAAAAAAAAAGTTTTTGGGGCCCAAATTTTGCAGCCTTTGCGTCTGATTCGAGGGGTATTTCGTCCTCCCTCAACGGGGATTTAGTATTTGGACCTTGCTTTCGCATGCCTTTGTTACGGAGTGCGATTATCAGCCTTAGTTTGGGAGCAATATTGGCTCAAAGTTGATCGAAGCAATCAAACATGCCAAATCGCGTTTTTTACCGACTTTAAGGCCAATTTTGACCTTTTGGTCAACTTTGAGCCAATACTGCTCCCAAACTAAGGCTGATAATCGCACTCCGTAACAAAGGCATGCAAAAGCAAGGTCCAAATACTAAATGCCCGTTGAGGGAGGACGAAAAACCGCCTCGAATCAGACGCAAAGGCTGCAAAAGTTGGCCCAAAACTTGTTTTTTTAAAGGCATTTTGGACCGTTTTGGTCAACTTTAAACCCATACTGCGCTCAAACTAAGGCTAATAATCGCATTCCGTAACAAAGGCATGCGAAAGCAAGGTCCATAGACTAAATGCCCGTTGAGGGAGGACGAAATACCGTCTCGAATCAGACGCAGAGGCTGCTTAAAGTTGTCCCAAATCACGATTTTTCAAAGGCAGTTATGACCGTTTTGGTCAACTTTGAGCCAACACTGCTCCCAAACTAAGGCTGATAATCGCACTGCGTAACAAAGGCATGCAAAAGCAAGGTCTAAAAACCAATCTACGTTGAGTGAGAACAAAAAACCGCCTCGGATCTGCGCAGTGGCTGCTTAAAATCGGCCCAAAAAACGAATTTTCAAAGACATTTGTGACCGTTTTGGTCAACTTTGAGCCAACACTGCTCCCAAATTTAAAGGGTGATAATCGCACTCCGTAACAAAGGGATGCTAAAGCAAGGTCTGAAGACCAATTGCCTGTTGAGGCAGGACAAAATACCCCCCCGGATCAAACGCAGTGGCTGCTTAAAGTCGACCCCAAAACACGATTTTTCTCAGCCCAACGAAGACCATTACTGTACTCTGATGGTAGACGTACTAGAAAAGCGGGTTAAATGGGTTTTCAAACAGAAAAACCTACGCAGAATCTAAATTAATTGAGCCTCAGCTTTGAGACTTTGCAGGAAACCACCGTTTGCTTTGGTTCTCTAGTTGAGCTGGCTTCTGTCGGAATAGGAAAAAATTTTTAAAAAATCAAAAGGGCCCAATGTAATTTTTAGGATAGATCAATTTTTTAGGCAAGACTTAATTTTTCATCAGAGTTGGGTCCTCCCGATCATATCTCCCTAGAATCTACGTCTGTACTTGGGGTTTAACGCACTTTACTACCTGTCTTGCACCTTGTTCATAGGCGAATAGGTGTCTAGGATAGTTCAAATTCATAGATACGGCTTTCTGGACCTCGAATTTCGATTCCCCGACATGGAATTATATGGAAACGACACCTCGCATGCCAATATTAGGGATCAGTGGAGAAACAGCTATTCTAGGGGGTAAACCACCCCTTGGGAGGGGAGGATTGGTAGAACACGGAGCGCGACGGTGCTGCAGTACTCCAAGTCATTAGTAAGCAATATTAAACGCACTTGGGTACCAGGAGGAGCGTTCCGGAGCCCGAAAACCTTAAAAACGGCGACATTTTTAAAGGGGTGAACCACCCCTCAGAGTAAGATTTCACATTTGGGACCCCGGGCAGAATCGTTCCTTGTGGTTCCAAAAACACGTGTACAAATTTTCACACTTGTATCATAATATGCCAGATTTCCTCAAATTTTCACGTGTAGCGACCGCACTAGTAGAACGGCCGTTACGTTAAAGAGAGTATTAAGTCTTGTTCTTTTCTTGTTTTATTTTTTTGTGACGGATAACAAAGAATTTCTTGATAAAGTCTGTTTCAATACGAATTCAATTTTTCTTGTGAACAACGTTGTTTTTGTAAGGTTTTTATGGTTGAAGTTGTTAAACCCAAGTTCCTTTCCTTACAGTAAGTAAGGTGTCTGTCTTTTGTAGTTCAGCATTAAGTGAGAATGCTGACATAAGTTTATACGTAGATGTTTTGATGAAAGAAGCCGTAACTGTGAGTTTCGTCACGGACCTCTCCGGTGTGTCGAACATTTCTCGACGTGTTCGCGATTACAACATATAGTACTGTCGTGCTGTACTTTAGAATCTGTTCCAGCCCTTTTCATGACGTCAACTTTTTCTGCTTTTGCCATTTTTTCTTTGACTCCTGTCTGCATTCTGTCTTATATTTGTGTGCTGTTTCAGGACCAGGGCTGTGCGAGGGTAGAACGATCGCAGACTTCCTTGCACTTCTTAGTGGCTTTTTCCCAGCATGCGCTTCCCACTGTCAGGCGAGCCATCAGTAGTGGTACAGAGCAGCGTACAATGTGTACCTTTTATTTTGAATTATAAAGTCTGATTATTTGCTGTCCGTTTCTTGTTTAATAGCAGTACATCAGTATGTTTAATTACAGCTTCTGTGGTAGTTATGCTGGGCAGGTGTTTTGCATGGCTTCTGGCATGGGTTGGCCGTGGCGTGTTCCTGTGGCTCGCTGGCCGAGTCTCTCCGCGTCCACGGCTTCCTGCGGCCCAGCCCGCCGCGAGGACTGGGAGACTCGCCCGGCGTTGGCCGCACGTTTTGGCTGGCTGGTTTCTGAAGTCCGCCTTGCTTGCAGGTTCCGTGAAGGCGGAGGACCTGGAGGCGCCTGGAGGACGCGACTGCGGAGCGGACGAGGACGCCGGCCCTGGGGACCAAGGTGGGTGGAGTGCCGACGCGTGGACCGCCGCGGCGGCCGGAACGCCGGTACACTGTCTTGCTAAGCTTGAGCAACCAGTCGATTTAGCTTTGCAATCTGGGCGGTCATTTTCACTGTTTTAATTTGAACTACTTTTTCTTCCATGCATTGCTGCGCTGCGTGGTAGAACGGGATACGTTGTTGCGAACCGTATCCGCGTCCGCGTCACTCGTGTAATCTTGGAATGTCGTTTGGAACGCGAGCCCTCGAACCCCGTCGCTGCACAGTCGGTGTAGAGTGCGAGACCTGAGTAGTGCTGCAGCTTTCATTTTGTGATTGTTGAGGGTCGCTTGGACACAGCGCTGAGTAACTGCAAGGAACGGATTACATGCAAGGGGCGAGCCTTGCAACCACGACATGTTACATAGCATACCGCATTCAGGAAATATTGCCTGGTTTTGCCTTGAATTAGCATTTTTCTTAGGTACCTTTGAAACACACTCGAAGACATTTCTTTGTGCTTTCCAATCAGTAACTTGCGTGACTCCTCTACACTAAATCACTATGTTGGTGGTGATGCACGATTTTAAACCTGCGTGATCGTTTTGCGTTAAATTGTTCACAAATTTGCATAAATTAATGCATTGTCACGCATAATATTATGCAAATCCCCCGCATGCACAAAATCGTGCAAGTGGTACGTACAAAATTCCACATAAACATTTAGCGTGTATGCATTGCGTATGAGCCTGCACTGAGATTCCAAACGCTATGAGTATAGCACGTATGGTGCAATACAGCTGAGATATCGCACCATACGTGCAATGCCTCAGACATATTGCACCTTACGTGCAATGCATCCCGAAAATGCCCTATGCTTATGCATGGGAATGGGGGGGCATTGCACTTCATGTGCAATGCTTTTGCATTGCACCAATTGACGCTATACTCAGCGTTTGGATTCTCAGTGTGGGTTCGAAGGGCCTGTAAATGGCTATTTTTTCCAAGTGAGTGGCAAGGACGGCTCAGTAACGCCTTGTTGCTTGCAGGCGCCGTGAAGGGCGAGGACCTGGAGGCCCCAGAGTCTGGAGGGCGGCACTGCGGAGCGGACGGCGACTCTGGAGGCGAAGGTGAGTGGAGTCTTGGCGGAGCAGTCTGCAGAATGCCTCGGCCTGAGGGGGGGGGGATACCGATTCAATGAAACAGTAGGGACCAGTTTCACCGGAGAGAACACAACGAGCTCCTTGCCTCAATCACTGCTAAAATCTGTTGGCACCAATTGACAGAATCGTGAGTGGTGGATGACATCGTCATCACTTGCAAAGTAGTTGCATTTTCACTAGGACTCCTACTGCACGGGGCTGAGAATTGTCATGACATCCTTCAAAAGGAAACTTGCCTTAAAATCGTCTTTAAGTGAAAGCCAAATATATTTTTAGTAAATCTATCCAAAAGTGTTGTTTCGACTATCCTGCGGTTATATACTTTCACGGGACTGACATTTTACTTTGTCTTTCTCTTGCCCATTCTGCACCCCACTCGGTTTTGCAGGCCCCGTCCCGGCGGAGACCCCGCAGCTGGTCATCAGCGGCACCTTCTCGCTGGCTGGCCCGGCCGGCGGTGCGGGGCAGGTGGAGCAGGCCTCGCGGCGGCAGCGAGGCGGGAAGGCGCGGCTCGCGTACAAGTGCGGGGAGTGCGGCAAGAGTTTCCGGGCCGAGGCGGACCTGCGGAAGCACCTGGCGGGGCACTCCAAGGCGGGGCGGCACGCGTGCGGAGTGTGCGGCAAGCAGTGGACCAAGGCTGCGGATCTGAAGAAGCACGCAAGGATCCACACCGGGGAGAGGCCGTACCAGTGTGACGAGTGTGGGAAGAAGTTTAACCAGGAAAGCAATCTGACTGTGCACAAGAGGATCCATACTGGCGAGAAGCCGTACGAGTGCGACGTGTGTGGGAAGAAGTTTACCAATCTCGGTACTCTTACTGTGCATAACAGGATTCATTCTGGTGCGAAGCCCTACGAGTGCAAGGTGTGTGCGAAGAAGTTCTCTGATCCCTCAGCTCTACGCCGCCACAAGGGCATTCATACTGGACAGTGACTTTGGGATAAGCTGTGCTAGTGTGTCGTTTCTTGCTTAAGGCTTTGGAATATGTCGTGTGTATAACGTACTTTCTTTTGATATATCATTTCATGCTCGTGAAAGCTATCAGCTACTAATTTTAGTTTAATTTTGCAAAGTCTGTAATCTTGTTAAACTATTTCCCTCCTTTCTTGTATTTTTGTGTCATGTTGTTCGTTGATGATAATCAGTTATAATCATTAGTGCTTTTCTCTTTTGAAGACTTCGGTTTTTGTGAAGGTTATTCGGTTCAAACTGTTCAAATCAAACACGTGTACTCGCTCTAAGTTGTGATGTCGCTCGGCTTGACTGTTTGGTGAAAGAGGCCTTATTTGTAAAGTTTTGTCAGAGTCCACTTCGGTATGTACAACATTTCTCGGAGTGTTTTCGAGTATACCGAAGCACCGTCGCGCAGTACTTTGGAAACTGTTTCAACCGTTTTCATGTTGCCAATTGTTTTTTTGCCGCTAACTCCTACTGCAGTAATTTTTTTCCTGTTTGTGAGTTCCGTCCTGTACTGGTGTGATAAGTGAACACATGTGCCAAGTGCAAGAGCCACATTTCTTGCGAAGTGTAAAGGCTTTGGAGTGTGTTGGGGCAGAAAGAGGTTTCCTCCGAAATTTTATTCCATGCTCGTAACACTTTGAGTTCATAATTTTTGGTTGTACTCCAGGAAAGTGTGTTGTCTTGGTAGAGCTACCGAACTGAACTTCTGCGAAGTTCAGAAGTGTTAAAAGCCTTGTTCTTTTCTTGTTTTTTTTTTGTGTCGGATAACAAAGTATTTATTGATGAAAGTCACTAACGTATCTAATTTTTATTGGGAACAATTCTGTTTTTGCTACAAGGTTTTACGGTTGAAGTTGTTTAAACAAATGCCTGGGCTCGCCAAAAATAAGGAAGTCCTTCGTCTTGTTGTTGTTGATTAACATCGTGTTAGAATCCTGAAATAAATAAAAACATTTTTCGACGTGTTATCGCGCATTCTAAGAGTACCGTCGTGCTGTACTCTGTAATATGTTCCAGCCGTTTTCATGATGTCAATTTTTTGCTGCTTTTGCCATTATCTGTCAGACTTGTTTTTCTGCATTCTGTCTAATATTTTCTTGCTGTTTCAGGACCAGGGCCGCGTGCCGCGCCGACTTCCTTTCACACTTCGGTGGCTTTTTCCAATCATTCGCCTCCCAGTGTTAACGATTCTTCATTAGTGTTCAGAGCAGTGCAGTATAATGTGTACCTAATTATTTGAAGTTAATAAAAGTCTGAAAATTTGCTGTCCGTTTCTAGTTTAATAGCAGTAACTGAGTGTGTTTAATCACAGCTTCTATGGTCGGTTTGCTAGGCAGGTGTTTTGCATGGCTTCTTGCATGGGTCTGTGGTTCGCTGGCCGAGTCTCTCCGCGTCCACGGCTTCCTGCGGCCCAGCCCGCCGCGAGGACTGGGAGACTCGCCCGGCGTTGGCCGTACGTTTTGGCTGGCTGGTTTCTGAAGTCCGCCTTGCTTGCAGGTTCCGTGAAGGCGGAGGACCTGGAGGCGCCTGGAGGACGCGACTGCGGAGCGGACGAGGACGCCGGCCCTGGGGACCAAGGTGGGTGGCGAGGGGTCGGCAACTCATATATTGCTTCGTACGCGGTGGCTATATTACCAGTATATTACCTGTATATTACCATATATATATTGCATATTACCACAATTTCGCCTCTATAATACCCCTATATTACTATATATTACTTTGTATTACTTTATATTACACATATATTACCTATATTACTGGTAATATACGTATACTCCCTCGTACACGGCCAAGGGAAGTTGCCGACCCCTCGGTGGGTGGAGTGGCGGCGCGTGGACCACCGCGGCGGCCGGGTCGCTGGCACACTGGCTTGCACACCTTAGGCAGCAAGTCGATTTAGCTTCGCAATCTGGGCGTTGATTTTCGCTGTTTTAACTTGAATTAATTTTTCCTCTGTGCATTGCTGCGCTGCGTGGTTGAACGGGAAACGTTGCTTGGCAAGGACGGCTCAGTACCGCCTTGTTGCTTGCAGGCGCCGTGGAGGGCGAGGACCTGGAGGCCCCCGAGTCTGGAGGGCGGCACTGCGGAGCGGACGGCGACTCTGGAGGCGAAGGTGGGTGGAGTCTTGGCGGAGCAGTCCGGGATGCCGCGGGCTGCAGAGGTGGATTTTGAATGCTTTCCAGTTCATTTTAAAGTGCGAGCCGATCTCTGTTTCCATTGAGTTCTTTTGAATTGTTTCTGCCGTTGTCCGCACTGCAAGAAATAACCACAACTAAACTACACGAATTTCTAGCAAATTTTTATTAGTAATTTATTGTACTTCACAAGAACAACAATTGTTGTGGAAAACAATGAAACCGACATGACGAGTGCACTGAAAATGAACAAGTCATGATCAATACCCAATTTTGGGCGAGGTATACTTTATCGTCAAAATTTGGGCGAGAAAGCCTTTCTCGCCCAAATTTAGGCGAGTAAGGGTGTATCAGCTACCTATATGGCTCCATAGTATGAGGACCCAAATTTGGGTGAGGAAACCTTCCTCAGCCAAATTTGGGCGAGGAAACCTTCCTAACCTGTATTTGCGCGGTAAAAAATTCCTCGCCCAAAATTTAAGTCATGATCATGACTATTTTATTCTCAGTGTGCTGTGCTGTCCAGGCGTCGTTGTGGTTTGTACAATCCTCGTTGTACTTTGAAAAATCCCTGTTGTTCTTTTGTTGTACTATCCTCACTTTTTCGTGCAGTGCGGTTGTCTTCAATAGGATTGGCACTTCCCTTTGTCCTTCGCTAACCCGTTCTGCACCCGCTCGATGTTGCAGGCCCCGTCCCGGCGGAGACCCCGCAGCTGGTCATCAGCGGCACCTTCTCGCTGGCTGGCCCGGCCGGCGGTGCGGGGCAGGTGGAGCAGGCCTCGCGGCGGCAGCGAGGCGGGAAGGCGCGGCTCGCGTCCAAGTGCGGGGAGTGCGGCAAGAGTTTCCGGGCCGAGGCGGACCTGCGGAAGCACCTGGCGGGGCACTCCAAGGCGGGGCGGCACGCGTGCGGAGTGTGCGGCAAGCAGTGGACTTCGGCCAAGGATCTCAAGAAACACGAAAGGATTCATACCGGGGACAGGCCGTACCAGTGTGACGAGTGTGGGAAGAGGTTTAGTCAGGAAAGTGATCTTACAAGACACAAGAGGATCCATACTGGAGAGAAGCCGTATGAGTGCGACGTGTGTGGGAAGAAGTTTAACCAGAGCGGAGCTCTCACATTGCACAAAAGGACTCATACTGGCGAGAAGCCGTATGAGTGCGACGTGTGCGCAAAGAAGTTTAGCCACCTCGTTACTCTGACTGTGCACAACAGGATTCATTCTGGTGCGAAGCCCTTCGAGTGCAAGGTGTGCGCGAAGAAATTCTCTGATGCCTCAAATCTACGCCGCCACAAGGGCATTCATGCTGGACAGTAACTCAGGGAGAAGCTGAGCTAGTGTGTCGTTTCTTTTGAAATGATAAGGCTTCGGATTGTGATGCGTGTAGAATGTAGTTTCCTCTAATATTTCAGTTCATGCTCGTGAAAGCTGCAAGTTCTTTATTTTAGTTGAATTTTGCAAAGTCTGTGTATTCTTGGTAGAACTGCTGTTAAATCTTTCTTTCGACTGTTATTGTATTCTTTGTATCGAATAAATCAATGTTCTTCATCGAAAACCCAGCTTGTAGTTCACACTGTTTATCGCACTTTGAGATGCATTCATAAGGTTATTACAACATTTTATTTCACCATCCGTGATTTCGGCGTTAAAAGAGCCCTTAACATCACTTTTATTTGAAATCCTTTGGATATGTTACTGTTGGAAGTAGGAGGTAAGTTGCACCTGGTTGAAACCGGTTGTAAGTAGGTTGAACCGAACCAATCTGGTAACAAGTGGAGCCACCTACTTGTAACCAGATATTGTGAGTTAGAACTAGTTGTAACCACATGTCAGTGGTTAGAAGTGTTGAAGCAAGATTTTTGTTGGTTAGATGTGGGTGGATAAAATTTATTTATTTCTCACAACAAATCTTTTTTGCAATTTTTTTTCTTTGCAACTCTTTTTTTGGGGTGGCTGGCCGGAGTTTTTCTTGACTTCGGAGTCGGTGGGGCAGCGTCTCCCTTGTTGCTGCATGGCAGACTGCTGTGGCACTTGCTGTTGCAAAGGAGGCCGGCACGCCTGCAACCGCAGCGTTGAGTGGTGCACCGTTGGCTGCAGTTGCATCTCGTGAACCCTTGCCCCCCCGTCTTGCTTTGCAGAGTTGCGAGGCGGCGGAGCTTCAAGATGCTGTCCTTCGGCACGTCGTCTACCGTCAGGAAGGCTTCCTTGGTGACAGTAAACATGTTCCTTGCCAGCATTGTCTCTAGCACACCGTCCTTGTTTCCAACGCGATAGAAGCCATCCTCGGTGGCTTCCAGAACGACACAAAGGACATTCCTGGGGTCACCGCGGCCTCTATCCACGTCGGGAACAGGGACTGTGACATTGTCCCCGACACTGGCTGGAGGGAACTTGTTGTTGGAGGTTCTCAGCATCTTTTCGGCCTGGTGCTGAAGGCCGGCGACTGCACCAACCCTGAGGCTTCTGATGTTAGATGACCTTTGACAAGGGTGCAAGACTCCCGCCCGTGCCGAAAGTGGCCGAAACTGACGTTTCCGTGGCGCGGTCCGAGGCGCGCAGTCCATTGTTATTGTTGCTATTGTTGTTCCCTCCCAACCCCTGCCCTTACTCACTAAGAACACTTCCAACCAACTCTCATTGGTTACAAGTGAAAATAAAATAAATGCACACTGTTCGGGATTATTTTGTGAAATTACGATTAGTTGTCTGTTAAATTTGTACCACGAACTGCTCGTAAATTTCAAAAACGATCTGATCATCCGTCTTTTTTTCGTCAATTTACAAAAATATTCTTAAACTTACAGACTTGATCCTCAAATTTTGGTCGTTACGGGCATTTTTTCTTCCTATATAGTAAGGAAACAACGGACGAAAACGCAGTTTTTCAGACTTGCTTTTACAATCATACTTGTAAATTAACGATTTCACCTGTAAATTTAAGAAGCAGTTTGTAAAATGATGAACAATTTGTCAATTTACAATTAACTCTGTAAAAAACAGTGCAGTTCGTGGTACAGATTTAACAGGCAACTATTCATAAAAAATACTCTACAAATCAAAGAGTGTACATGGTATGCTCTAACTGGAGCATGCCTGCAAGCACGCTCTAACTAGCGCATGCCTGCCAAGCATGCACTTACTAGCGCATACATGCCATGTACACGCTTCCTGATGCAGACAACTCCCTATCCCTTATGCACTAGATGCATGCTTCAGCTAGCGTGTACATGGCATGTATGCACTACAGTATTCTCCCGCATTAGGTCGACTCGCAATAAGTCGTTTTCATGTGACGGCCCCCGCTTACGCACGGGGGTTTATGGCCCGGCGAGCTCGACCCTCGGGGATGATTGACAGGGGTCCTCCGTGCCGCCAGGCCGAAAACGCGCGAACCCGGGCGCTGACGGAACCCCGAACCGCAGTGCCGACCTGGCTAGGTAGCGTGGACCCGTAAGGCGCCGGTCGGCACTGCGTTTCGGGCCACTCCAGTGTAGGACCCAAGGGCCGGCTAATTGTTTTATGGCCTCCCCGAGCTCGGAGCACTGCCGGAGCCCGGCCTTCGCACCATGTGCTGTTCGGGTTTTCGTGTTCGTTATAGTCCGAGATCCGGTCCCGAGCCGTCGACCTATTGCGGGAGAATACTGTAGTTAGTGCATGCCTGGCAGGCATGCGCTAGTTAGAGCGTGCTTGCAGGCATGCTCCAGTTAGAGCATACCATGTACACTCTTCGATTTGTAGAGTAAGCTTGATTTGTAAGAAAACAAGTTTACGCGTGATAAAACGAGAATAGTCGTAAGATAACGATTTTATCAGTAAAACTACGATCTTTCGTCAGTAACATGAAGATTTCATCGTAAAATTACGAATTTATTCCTAAATTTATGAGTAAAGTTTGTCGAAAATATGACGATTGCTCGTTTCATGAATCTTGTTGTTATTTTACGAATTATTATTTGTAAAATTACAACACTAATTGTTGGGATTACTGTTGTAAAATGACGACTTCCCTTAACAGTGCAATGGTTCAACCTAGTTGTAGCCGGCCGACTCCTCGTTACAAGTAGGTGGCTCCACTTGTAACCAGGTTGGTTTGGTTCAACCTACTTACAACCGGTTTCAACTAGGTGCAACCTACCTCCTACTTCCAACAGTAATAAATGTTCTTTGCATTTTTTTAATTGAGGCTACTGAATAGTTGTCATATTTGTATAGCGAGGTTGTGCTTCTCTGGCGTTGACGCCAAAAAGAAAAGAAAAGAACACACTAAATGTTCGGTAACACGACGGTTCACACCAATTTTTTCATATATTGAAGTTTCGCCTAATGTAATTTCAAATAGACGGTTTCACACAACTTTTTTCACACAAATTTCTTTTTACCTTCAATGCCAGTTAACACATATTTATTTCGAAGGGTTTCAAGGACGAGGCCACTAGTCACCAACGCCACAAGCCATCAAGGCTACTGCGTAAAATTGTGGCCACGGCGAACCAAGTACTCCAGAGCGGCCGTCTTTAAGGGATATAGTTCGGTATCGAATCGAATCAGGGTTGATTCGATTCGGGGACGGATGGGACGGATATCTTAACTTCGACCCGGTATATTCGGAATTTCGAATAGACGGTGGTTCCTCTTCGAATCGGTTGCTCGGGACCGGTTAAAAGACGCGCGCACAGCGCTTAGCGTTGTTTTTATATTGAAGCAAGATCAGATTTTTTTAAAAAATTCCTGTTCTGTTTTTGAGGCACGAAGTAGCCTTATAGTATACCCAGGATTCAGCCGGCCCGAGATTCGATTTGTGTGGCCCTTTATGCATTTCGGAAATTTTCTATACGATTTTAATGAGATTTTGCAGACTTGTAGACCTTTGAACGCTGATTCTGATGCTGAAATCTGGTTAAAAATTTGGTGGCCAATTTTGAGAAATTTGCTGTCAAAATCGCCGTTTCCATGGCAAAACTCGACTCGTCAAAGGAAAAAGAGGGAGTGGGGGGAGCCGAGCCGAGCCGGACCAATAGCGGAGCTTCTTTTTGGGTCTGTACAGCTTACTCCAAAAGCTGAAATAGCACGTTCGAAATGAAAAATTTCTTTGACGGCAGGTAGACAAGATGCAACAATAGAATTGGTGTCGTTTCGAACGTGGCCATTTGGATCGGCCGGCCGGCCAGTGACTTTTTATGAGAGTGTCCCGTACCAATCCCGCACCTCTGCGTTGTTGTTTTTGTTGTTGTTTAGTTGAAAATTTTTGTTACTCTTCAAATCGGAGTGAATTGAGCCAGTTAACTGCGTACCTGTGCACATGCATCTGTGAATTATCTTTCCTTAATGCAGTTTAAGAGTCGCTTTAAGACTTTTAGTCTCTTTTGAATAAGCTGGTCATGTAGCTGCTCCTTTTAGCCAGGTTTGATGGTACTTCTGATTCAGTTAGCACCACGATCACTTCGCTCCACCTCGCGACTTTCAGTGCTCATGTTCCTCGAACAAGACCGTTTCGAGACCATCCCTCTCGAGTTTATAAAGTTTGTCAAGCCAACCGTCGTGGTGTTGCTACGTTGTGAGTGAGAACTATTACACAGAATTGAAGAAAACATGACTAGAGAGCCGTAGCCTTTTGAAACAAGCCAAACAATTCAACGTCAGCAACAATGGAGGGGCAGTTTTAGTGCGCGACTATACTCGTGTTTTCAGCTTCGCGATTTTCGGAAGGGCGCAGACGCCGACAAAATTGTTGCCAACCCGCGAAAATTAGTTTACTGCCTTCTTTATCTGCCACCAAAATTTTCATAATGATGGACTTCAAAGATGTTCCTTTGTCAGATCACTGTGGAATACATTAGGATTGGAATTTTTCGAATTTCCCGGCATTTTGATTTCTCTTTATTGCCAAGGTTAAATTTTGACGGGTGGCACATCGACCACATTGGTACCACTGCCGTTCGTAGCCACCCTTGAGCTACCCCCTACCTTTTACATAACTTTTTTGCTTTCCCCACACTCCTACCCAAATTAACTTCGTGACTCCTAGGATTTCTTGAAATCGTATTTTTTTTTTTCATACAGAAAATGTGTTTTGAAACACACCATTTTTGTGATTTGTTTTTCTTTGTTTCAGTTCGAATTTGATTCGATTCTTAATCTTTCAACTTCGGATCGATTTAATTAGACAACTTTTTCGATTCGAAACTTCTTTTTTAAGATTCAATTCGAGTTTGATTCGAAATGAAAATCCTTGATTCGCACATCCTTACCGTCTTCCCTGAAGTCTTCGTACTCTAGGGCCGCCATGGAGAGTCAATCGGCAAGGAACTGCTAATAAATAGGTTCACACAAAAATTGTGTGAACAATGTGTAAACCGTTGTAAATGTTACAGTTAATGTCCGGTCCCCGGTCAAAACGCGTTTTAACCAGTTAAAACGCGGATGGTACTTAGGAAATGGTACTTTGTGTGAAAAAATTTGTGTGAAACCGTCTATGTGAAATAACATTAGGCAAAACTTCAGTATGTGAAAAAATCTTTAAATGAGCTCCAGCCAGGAAGAAGATTAATACTGCGG